TAAAATGCACTTTTTCAATTTTTCTTGTCTATTTTCTCAAAAAAAAATTTAGACCAAAATACCCCTAATGCATTAAACCTAGACACTTAGATGATTTTTCAAATATAATGCAATGAATGCACTTTGAGGTGATCAAACATTAATAAATGGGTCTTAACTGAAAAATAAAAGTGTGTAACAAATGTGTTCTATCAACATCCATTTGTATTCTGTGTCCTTTCATTCATTTTTATAAGCTGATTCTTGAGATAATTATTTGAATTATCCCATGTTCCTTTAATTAATTTTGACTTGTAACTTAACTATTGAAAAAAACAATTTGCTGAGATTGTTCTTGTTCATACTTGTATCTTCCTTTTATGCTGGTATAACTAATTCATACCAGTATCTCTATTCTATATCGGTATCCTAGGTTCATACCCATATGTTATCTTCATTACCCTATGTTTATGCTCAGCCAATTTATACCAGTATCTTCTATAAATACCAGTATTTATTTTTAATAACCGTATATGTTTGATTCCTACCTATATGATTTTCTTCAATTTATGGTCATGTTCATATTGGTATATCTTTTCCTTAACATTTTATCTTTAAAGCATTTAGCTTTATTCCATGTTTCTTTTATAGAGCAACTCAAAGCTATCTCATATATTAATCTTTTCAGCTTCCAAGTATTATGGTCACTCGTTCACCTATCTAGAATCCTTTTAAACACAACTAAAGGTCAGACTAAACCCTTATCCAATTTTTTGATTGATCTTCATACCTATATGTCTTTGCTCTATTGGTATCAACCTCTTTTACCCTTTATCAAAGCTTTTATCGCATATAACTATTACTTTCCTTAAGTCACTGATAACATGCAACAACACTGAAAAGCACTATTTTATTGGCTTAATCTCCAAGAAACTCATAAGGAAAGAGGATGAAGTTGTTAATGGCTAAATTAAAGAGTCTAATGAATATTTACCAAGCATCAACTATAAGTACAAGAATTTATGAAGACAATGGAGGAATGAATACCTGAGTTAATATGCAAGCTTATTCATTTACTTGTTTACCTACTCTCTACTATAATATTTATTACGCTTGAGTTTCATTGATTGCATATTCACTCTTGGAGAGAGTTTTTTGATAGTAGTAATTCTTTATTGAACTTACTTTTTTTATCCCTATTTTACCCACTTGAAATATAGAAACTTAAGTTTAGAGAGCTTAAAGGGATTTGATATTACTATTTTATGAGGGAGAGTTACAGACTCAAGGAGGAGTATGAATTGTACTAAAGCAACCAAGAGTGTGGCTTAATCTTGGTGGAGTTAGTGACAAATCTCCAGTATATCTTGGGAATTAAAAGTATGCTCAAGTGGCTAAAGCTGAACCAGGATAGACACTCTGTGAAAAGCTTCTCTACCCTTCACTTAGCTTTATTTGGTGATATTGCTCCTAACTTATATCTAATTCTTACATCATTTGCTTTAGTTTTTATTCAACTCAATTCAACCCTGGTCTTATATAGGTGGACTTTACAGCCTACTCCTTATTCCATTAAGTTTAGATCTAGGTAATCTCCATCAATTGGCTTGTCAAATTTGACAATAATTAATTTACAAGTTATTTGTATATCTACAAGTGGTTTAAGACTAGTATTTTGATTTTGCTTAAGGACCCATATCTCATGTTCTAGTATTTTGCTGAATTAATAATAAAATAGAATCATTAGCCTTGTGGTGAAAAAAAATGCAATCAAAATATATTCAATATGATTGAATTTAGTGACTTAACATAGTGAGTAGTACATACCTTTGAATAAGCTACGACTTAATCTTAACTTTTTGCAATGTTCCCAAATGGAAAACAAAATAAAAAAGGCAATGTATTTATTTAAAATGCTAAAGAGAAAATCATTTTAAAAGAAAAAATGGGTAGTAACAGATGGGCTTTTAATTTTTTTCTCTTATTTAATTTTTTTGAAAGAAAAAAATAGGCCCCTATGATGACCAATTTTCTATGATGTATGATGTATATGACATAGATCTCTCAAAAGTCCCTAGTGATTCAAACCTAAAATATAAAATACACCATTACTCTTACTTCCAATTCAATCGCATACCTCTCTTGTATTATTGGATGTTGCACAATCAATCCATTTCTCTCTTAATAGTTCCTTCCAATGCATTCTTCCCAATGTCAAATGGGGGAGTTGAGTTCAAATGGGGTAGTTCACATAAGTTAGAGTGATTCATTTTTTTTCCTAGTTTAAACATTAGGAGAAAGTTACCACCAATTTTGACTAAAATTACCCATATACTCTTTTGCTTAATGTTATCATGCACAACTAGCTAGTTGCCAACTTGGGAAAATTTAGTCAAACCATCTTCTCTCTTATTATGATAAATGATCAACATTCTTCTACGTTGTGGTAGCTAGCGGCCACATTGTTACGATTTTAAATGTTGAGGCATACAAATATATCAGAAATGAGTTTAGGGTCATAGATGCTCTTGCACCTATAATTTAGGGATCAAATGGCCACTTTACCATATAATAAATAGTGAGTACAACATATTCTAAAAGTATGTAATAAAAAAACAAAGAACAAATAACAATACAAATTGAAAGAAAGTTAATGCTTATTTAAACATAACATCATTGTCCATGCATAAACAAAGCCTTGATTTTGTTCAATGATACTACAACATCAATCATATTGCCACGTACTTCTGGAACATCAGTGCAACAATTTAAGGCCAATTCAAGAATGGAGGATGTACATTTTAATATATTATTTATATGATATTCATGAAGTACTCCTTGCAATAAATTGGAATCCATGACTTGAATTATTGCATGTGGCATTGACTCACTTACCCAACTCTTCAAACTCAATCCTGACACAAATATATCTTCTGTTGGCCTTTTTCTTGTAAACACCTCTAATAGCATAATTCCATAGCTATACACATCTATTTTTGTTGAAACAACTCCAGAAGATCCATACTCTGCATACAATTGGGTTCAAGTAATAAAATTTATACTAATAGCTAAAGAAGACTATTCATTTAGAATTGAGAAATAAGTTATGTTGCACTTTCTAGTGGCAGGTTGTGATTTCTTATTAACATCATGTATTTTAATTTATGATAATGTAATTTTTTATATGTATATTTTTTGTTAACCTAAAAGATTGATATGAAACTTTATGATCATATGCAAAAGGATATTCATGTACAAGAAAAAAATAAGCTCAAACACAAAAACCCCATGCAAAGGCATACATGCATGCACATATAGCTATACATCCACTTGTGCACATATTTTAGAATACACCTTCATCTTAATGTTCAAATATAAATTAGTTTGAAATTTTAATATACATATACAATGATCAAATTAAACTAACCTAGCTCAAGGATTGAAAACTTATAAAATAGGAAACCTCTTTCATTTTCTATTTGAATAGAAGAGTCTAAAGAAAAAATTAGAAGGAAATATCCAAGGACATTTTTTTTAGAAGAATTAACATACCAAGTTCTAGGAATAGATAATTTTGATAAATTTTTGTTCGCTAATTAAACTTCATATTTATAAGAATCAAATCAAGAAAATTAATGTGTTTTAATATCACATGTAGTATTTACCATAATTATTAATTTATCATGCACTAATTTTATATAATATTGCAAAAATATATGTAATAAGCTTTTATAAATATAATATGTTAAGATATATATTGTTAGAATACAAATAGAAAAGGAATAAAAAAACAAGACATGTTTAGAATAATTACCAGGTGCAATATAGCCAATGGTAGGTATTGTCTCCGTGTGTCTTAGATTCCCCTTCATTAAAAATTTTGGAAATTCCAAAGTCACTTACATGAGCAATCATTTCATCATCTAGTAAAATATTACTGGGCTTCAAATCACAGTGAACAATTGGTGCTCGCAAGCCATGATGGAGATACTCCAAAGTAGATGCTACATTTATCATTATATTCAACCTTTGAAAAAAATCTAAAAATAGTTGTGAGAATATAACCATTTCTCAAGGCTCCCTTTGGGCATGAACTCCATTACCAAAGATTTGAAAACATCATTAGAGCAACAGCTTATAACCTTTACCAAATTGTGATGACGCACATTACGCAGTATGTCACATTCTTGTTCAAAGCTCCTTAACATTACTTGTGAATCCATATTGAAGATCTTAACTGCAACGATCATTCCACTTGAAAGCTTTCCTTTGAACACAGAAGCAAAACTTCCCTTTCCTAGTATGTTACTCTCATCAAATCCATTGGTTGCTTCTTGGATTTCAAAATAAGAAATCCTTCTTGGCACTCCTAAAGTTGGTAAATCCCTTTCAACTAGTCCTCTTGAATTTTGTCGTTTATGTCTTAAAAGGATAATGCTTGAGACAACCAAAATTATTGACATAACTATGGGTAATATGCATTTCAATAAAAGAAATTTTATCGTAATCTTTTTCTTGTTTCCTTTCTGCAGGAGGCATTTGGAATTGCAGGTTGCCACAAAGAGCTTGATTCATCATAATAGATTTTGGAGTCAAATTTTAAAAAACTCCTCCACTTGGAATCTTCCCTTGGAGTTTGTTATAAGAGAGATTGATATACTTAAGATTAATAAGTAATTCCAAAGATTTAGGAATCTCCCCAGACAAATTGTTTTGGGAAAGGTCTAAATTTTCTAAGCTTATCAAATTCCCAAATGAAATAGGAATAGATCCCTGCAATTCATTATGCGCTAAATAGAGAATTTGTAGATTTTGCAAGCCGCCCATAGTTGTTGGAATGATGCCTGAAATATGATTTTTGGATAAATCAAATAAAGTAAGAGCTTTTAAGCTCCCAACCCTTGATGAAATATTCCCAAAAAATTGATTGGAAGACAAGTTTACTTGCAATATATCTTTCAAATTCCAAAAGGAAGATGGTATCTCAAAAGCCATCTTATTAGAGCCCAAGTGAAGTTCTCTTAAGGAGGAATATTTCCTAAACAAGGTGGCATTACTCCAGAAAACTTGTTTTGGCTTAGATGTAAATAGCCAAGTGGTTTGATCTCACAAAGCTCATCAACAACTAAACCATGCAAGTTGTTGCCTTTGAGGCTCAAAAACTGAAGAGCATGTAAGCTGCCAATTGTTATTGGAATTGGTCCTTTCAAAACATTTTCATCCAAAGATAGTCTAATCAATTTAGTAAGATTCCCGATTTCTGATGGTATGTTATCATTAATACCACAAGAGTTTATGTCCAACTCTTGTAGAGAAGCAGAGAAGTTTCCAATGGACTTGGGAAGTTTTATATACAATGGATTCATTGAGAGATCCAAAATATTCAAATGCCTGCAATTAGTCAATGAGGTAATAAAGTTGGTTTTGGAATTGGAACTATCTGATGTGGTTAAATTGTTACCATTTATTTGAAGGATTTCCAAGTATCTTAAATCCCCAAGTGTTCTTGGTAAAACCCCTCTAAAATTATTTTCCTCCAACCTCAAAATGGCCAGCTTAGAGGCATTGGAAATAGTATTTGGGATATTTCCAGAAAGTTTGTTGCCCCATAAATATAGCTTTTCAAGATTAGGAAAGGCCACATCCAAAATCTGATGGAAGGCTACTTGATAAAGAATTATTTGAAAGTTCCAACACTTGCAAAGTTGACATGTTAAAAATTTTCAACGGAATAGATCCCCTCAATTTGTTGTTGGATAACACAAGCCGTTCAAGCTTATAAAGATTGCCTATTTCTGCAGGTATTAAACCTGAAAGCAAAAATATTATTATTTTAGATTTATGTAGACTTATTTTAAGTTAATACTAGAATTAAGGAAAAAGAAAATATACATGTCTAATTAATTAGACAAATAAATGATACTGATCATCATAATGTTGGGTCAATAATATAATCCAACTAATTTTAGTTTCACTTCATAGATTAAAATGACAATTTTTTTTTCTATTTGTTCTATGCTAACAATCCCAAAACATATATAAAGTGAAATTAAAATATAGTTTTTAGAAAATTGTTATGAGCGGAATACATTCCATTTGAATACTAGTTGGGGTGATGCGGCATCTGCTACCTCAATATTTAGTGGCCGTTTTATTTTGTCTTATTATATTTTATTTTGCTAAAAGTGAAAAAAATAAAAAGTTTTGAAATTTGGATATTGTTTCTTTTTTCGTTCTAAGGCATGCATAAAACTCTTTACTGGTTGATCATATGCAATTCATTCAAACAAAAGTTCTATTCTAGCATTTTTAAGTTGTTGAATTGAGTTGCAAAATTTTTGTATAGTAAACCTTTTATTCAAATCAAAATAATTTTTGGTGAACATTTTAAATTACTTTAGAAAGCCATATTATTATCTTTGGACAACATGAGCAATCTTAAATTCCATGTAGCAAACAAGTCAACATCTAGCTTAAATTGCTTGTATGAAATATAAATTAATTTAAAAAACTTTTGTTTTATAAAGGTTTTGAAACTAATATTTAAATCAATAAAAAACTTGAAGTTAATTCAGGTGGTAAGGATAGGTGGAGTGTGGGTAGGTAAAGGGTTCAAACCCTCATAATGGATAAAAAATTAATACAAAAATATTTAAATAAAAATTTGAAACCGTCTATATTTATCAAATAAACATATTATATATAGCAAGGCAAACATGTATCACATTTCTATAATCTTTCAAAACTATATTATATTAAAATAAAAATATTGAGCAACACCTAGTGTTTGGGAATGCTTTTGGACAAAAGAAGTTTGTTGATTGCATAATTTTTTAAATATTTGAATGTTAATCGCATCTATAAATATGAGGTTAACTTTATAATGGATTGTAGACCTTCTATATACAATTGTTAAAAATTATAAGAATTTGAAAAAGAATTTATCGAATTGTTGTTTTGTATTGTGAAGACGGCTAATTTTTACAATTTATATCCACTAAAATCTATTTGATGACAAATGATGACACATTAAATTTCTAGCCAAATAATTTATTGAAATGAAAAGACAACATTGTTGAATCATATGTTTTGATTATTACAAAACTAAGAGAAAAGGGTTTGTCACTTGGGCATATCAATATATTATAATCAAAGTGACAAGTCCTCAAGACCATGAAAAGCAAGAGCACACTTAACTTATAGGTTTATATTTTATCTTGTCTTAGATATTTTGTTAAAAACTTTGTTGAGAGCTAATTTAAACTTTGCATGGTAAGAAATCATTCATTTAGAACAATTCATAGGCTCAGAAGTCCTAGCATTTCACTGCAAAATACCTAGAATGCATTTCTTGTTCTTTGACTAATACACACTTGTTTGAGAATTGACACACGCGTGTTTCAATCTTAAAATGTATTAGAGGACTTAGTTGGATCTAGTTCATGCTTGTGTTAGAGCTAAAACTCATTTGTCTTAGAGTACAACAGCATTGCCTACATTGAACTCTAATTCACGCTTGTCTCATAAGAGATGCATGCGTGTCTAATTAGTACTTGTGAGTGCAATTGCCCTAACACTACTAAAAAACCCTTCTTACACCATTTTTTAATGTCAATTATCTAAAGATACGTTGTTAAGAAAAAGTGGTGGCATTAACATAAAATCTTAGTTTTTTTATGTTGGTTAACCGATGTAAAAGAGGTTTTCCACATCGTTTATACAAGGAACTGATATGGAAAACCTTAAAAATAAAAAAATAAAAAAATGTTAAAGTTTCAATGTCATTTTTTGTGTAATTGACATTGAAACTAGGAAATGACATCAGTTATACAAATATAACCGATGTCATTTCCAATTTAAATCAGATCTGCCAAATCATCTCGTCATTTTCAACAATTCATTTGCATTTTCTCTCTTCCCAATTTCTCTCTCATTTTCAAGCTTCCATCTTTACCCAAGCCATCATTAGGAGCAAGGCTATCATCGATTGGAGCCACTACTGTCAAAGTCCACCACCATCACCGTTGAGTTTTTTGTTATCGCCATTAATGTCATTTTAGAGCTTTTGAGGTCTATTTTCTTCTTCTATCTTTGTGGGTCAAGTTTTTTTTTATTTAGAGTCTCCATTTTCTTTCTTCTTTCTTCCATTATGAGTAAAACTTTTTATTGAAAGTTGTGCCTTAGGACCAATTATTATATTATGAACATTGTTATTTAATGAATTTCTCTTTTATTATTATATTAATTGCATGTTCACTATGATAACTATATCTTAGACAAACTATAGTGATTGTCCTAAATGTCCCTGGTCGGTCATCTATGAGGGATCATAGATGAAACAAGACTAGTATGACTTTGATTAATTATATAGATATAAATCAAAGTCGTAGGCACTTGAAAGGGTATTAGGGGTTTGACCGATCCGCTATGACAACTACATGGTACAAGTCATAAACTTATCTCATATGTAACCTTGCCGTTAAGGCCTTTAACTTGAGATCATCATGGATTCCTACATGATGACCATTGAATTTTGACCTAGTCAAAAATTAACCTTTAACCGGGTGATCATAAAGGTTATAATTGAGTTTAGTGATATTCATGTAGAGAAATATGAGTGGTCAAGATGGAATTTGTCTTTCACATTAATTGAGAGATATTACCAGGCTCCTCATGAGTAAGATTGAGAAAATGTATGGTCATACTACAATGGAAAGGGGGTTTTCATTGCTATAGACAATCCACTCATAAATTGAGAAAGTAATGGTCAAGTAAAGGAGAATGATAATTTCATGTCACACACTTGCCCAAAATATCGTGTGACAAATGGAATGTGATATGGTTATATGATAGGTTATATCAGATCATTGATCCCTATATGAATTGGGTAGTCATAATGTCTTGCTAAAGGCTACTTGTAACTTGTGGGCTAATAGTGTTACTGGTTTGCTGCCATCTTCATATGGGTCTACAAGGTCGCACATAAAAATAGTCCAAGTTGAGCTATAATGTCTAAGTTCATTGAATCATAAATGTGTTTAGATTTAATGAATGCAATGCCTTATTAGAGTAAATGAATTTTATGTGTATGTGTATGTATTTGAATATTTATCTGATAAATAGATATACATATATATATACACTTGGATATATATGGTGTGTGTGGTGTGTGTGTGTTTGTATATGTCTAATATATATAGATACATTATACATTATACATTATATTATATTGTGTTATTTTTAAATTTAATTTTATATGATAGATTAAATTTAATAACTAACATGATATGAGAAGATATCATATAATTTGTAATTGAATTTATAAAATAAATTCAAATAAGATATGATATCATAATTTAATTTATGAGATAAATTAAATTTTATTTTTGCTAGTTCAAGATATGATTTTTAAAATAATTATGATTATTTTCAAAAATTCATAAGGGAAGACCAAAACTCTAATCTATATAAGATAGAGAAGGGTCAAGCTTCGAAATTAAAAGTCACTTGACGACCAAATTTTGAGAGCCACAAAAATACCCCAGAAAGAGAATGAGTATCTAAGGCTAGAAGATTAGATCCTCCAAGGGTTCTGCACATACGGACATTAGATATTGGAAGCGTTAGCATGCTGTTCGTGTTAGTAAGCTATTTGTGTGGATACTAGTAGGGAGAGCAGATTTGCATTGTCAGCTCATAAGGTCTAAAGGAAGCCAAAGAAGTGTGACATTTAAAAGATAATTCTTCTATCCACTTTGACTTAAACGAATTTGATTGGTACACGATCGTGATTGGGATTTTATTTTTTTTAAATTTTTTAGTGTGCCTTCCAATCCAACACTTCTTGAGATTCAATTTTCCAATCAGAAGTTGCTTCTTCTTTGTCTTCCATTACAGTGTATTACCTCAAGTGAGTTTTGGGAGTTGCATTTTCTTGTCATATAGACTCCAAGTAAGTCTCATACATATTTTTTATAGACATGAATTTTTACTATTTTTCTCTGTATGTTTTTTATTGAAATTGTATTTATTTATTTTTTTATAATTATTTTATTTCTCTAAAATGTTGGGATTTTTAGATTCTTTTATTAGAGGGATTAAATTTATTGTCATGAATTTTTTTTATTCTTGTTAAGGTTTGAGAATTGTTATGTTTCAAATTATTGCTAGATAGAATTTTGTGATTGTTGAAATTTTGAAACTTCCTATTTTAGGGAAAACTCTGCCAAAATTTTTGGTAATATTTATATTAATGAAAAAATATGCTTGAAACTAACAAGGTATGTAATTTAGTCATAACTTTTATTCATGTTGTTATTGAATTGTTATATCTTTAAAAATTTGTTAGATTCACTTAAATTTTCAACTAGCATAGATTTGAGTAGAACTTGATCGAAGTGGTGCCTTATTTTAAGGGAAAAATCTATCAAAAAATTTTAAATTAATTTAGGAAAAATTAAATATAACAAATTGTATGTTGATTAATTAAGTGGTTAAACAATGGGTCGTAGTTGTGTGAGTTCTAGGAGAACAAGTGAAGAATATTGGAAAGGTGTGGAACATTTTCTTGAATTTGATAAAAGGAATGTCCCTAGTAAAAATGGACTGTATTTTTGTCCTTGTGTGAAATGTTTAAATGGGAGTCTACTAGGCATTGTTGAA